AGCCCCACATCCTTCTGGTGCTGGGGGCCCCAGCCTGGACGCAGCACTCCAGGTGGGGCCTCACCAGGGCAGAGCAGAGGGGCACAATCCCCTCCCTCCACCTGCTGCCCACCCCTCTGTTGGTGCAGCCAGGATGCAGTTGGCCTTCTGGGCTGCAGGCACGCACTGCTGGCTCGTGTTGGGCCTTTCGTCCACCAGATCCCCCAGGTCCTTCTCCGCAGGGCTGCTCTCAAAGAGTTCTTCTCCCAGTCTACTCATGTTCAGGATTGCCCTGACCCAGGTGCAGCACCTTGCACTTGGACTTGTTGAACCTCATTAGGTTCACATGGGCCCGATTCTCAAGCTTGCCCAGGTCCCTCTGGATGGCATCCCTTCCTTCTTTGGTATCAACCGCACCACTCAGCTTGGTGTTATCTGCAAACTTGCTGAGGGTGCACTCAATCCCATCATCTACATCATTGATGAAGACATTGAGAAGTGCCAGTCTCAAGACAGACCCCTGAGGGACACCACTTGTGACCAGTCTCCACCTGGACAGAGAGCCCCTGACCACCACTCTCTGGGTGCGGCCATCCAGCCAATTCCTTATCCACCAGAGGGTGGATACCACCTACCCTACAAATCCATATCGTTCCAATTTGGAGATCAGAATATCATGTGGGACCATGTCATAGGCCTTACAGAAGTCCAGTTAGATGACATTGGTCGGTCTTCCCTAGCCAACCGATGCAGTCACTCCATCACAGAAGGCCACCAGGTTGGTCAGGCGCGATTTGCCCTTGGTGAAGCCATGCTGGCTGTCCCAGATCACCTCCTTGTCCTGCATGTGCCTTGACGTTGCCTCCAGGATTTGTTCTATGATCTTCCCAGACACAGAGGCGAGGCTCACCTGTCTGTAGTTCCCCAGGTCCTCCTTTCTACCCTTTTTTAAAATGCCATAGCTTTTAAAGGAAGACTCCCAGAAAAGATAAACCCTGCTTTCCTGGGTATATAGCAAACAAACAAACATGTTTAACGCAAAGCCACCTTTATTTACTGTCGAACAACAGACAACCCCTCTGAGGGATCTCCCCTGGGAGCCTGCAAAGTGGCCCCAAGGCACAGACCACTTCTGCCACACCAGGGGACACCTGGGGACAAGCTGGGACGGAAAACCGCCCTCGCCAAACAGACCGTTCAGCTCCCGTGCTGTCCTCATTAAAGCAAATAGACATTTTTTTCCACCTGAAATTATTTCACGTTTTCCCTGAAGGGTTCTTAAAATATCTGTGACACAAAGCCTGAAGGAAAAACTGCTGGAATTCGGTCCTGCTGAGGATAAGGTAACAATATGAAGGATGTGAGGCAAGGCACCTTTTCATTGTGCGTACTAGCACTCGTAATTGACATCTCATCAGCTTCAAGGCCTCTGCTGGTAATATTTCCTTCTTCTAAGAATAGAGGTTGAAAGTATTTAAGAATTCTAGTTGTCATGCAATTAATAGCGTAACACTTTGTTCTGAGTAACAAGATTGCTTGTTTGGAGTACTAACAGTATTTTGCATGTAAAAAAAGGGGACTGGGGGATGTTTTATTGCCAGCACTTTTCCTTGCAGGGGGATGAATCACTTACATTCTTGGCAACCGAGCTTAAGTTCACAAGAATGCTCAGTTTGATCAACTTCCTTCAAAACACTAAGCCCAAAGTAAGAGGAAAAAAGAGAGAAAGAAACTTGGATGGGCTTGTATGCAGAAGACATTACAAGACGGACATCCAAGCAGGAAGACAATAAATCTAGTGTACAAATTGTTTTGCCCAAAGCAAGTCACTGACTTGCTGCTAAAGGATGGTCTAGCCTAAGTTAAGAGAATAACAGTGGAAGAAAAAATAAATAAAATAAAAAAGGATGAAAAGGAGTCAGAGAAAAGAAAGAAAACCCTCCTGATCTGGCAGACATGGCGGATGTTGTGTCAAACCTTAGTTTATTTGCTAACAAAACAATGTGATTTTTCAAGAAAAAATGCCACCCTTCCCTTCAGTGGAAGGCTGCACTGAGAAATTTAATGGGTGAATATGGTTAATTTGGGCGTGAAGAGACCGCTGCTTTCGCGCTGTGGCTTCACACAGTGAGGCCTTCATCGCAGCACCCATCTACAACACTTTTGTTCCAGCCCCTCACTTCTGCTGAGAGGCAGCCAAATGGCAGCTTGGGTCAGACCAGCACAACTGCTTGTTGGCTGGGCTAAAAGCAGCCCAAGAGAAAAGCAAAACATTATTTCTTGTGGAATTCCCCCTTTTTCTAGGTCGCCCTGAGGGTCATGCAAAGAGCTGTGCCTTGGTATAAAAGCGTAGCCGTGAGGGGTGCTGGAAGACAAGGAGGGAAGTACGGCCCCCAAAATCACTCGTTCCTTCTGCCCCATCTCACCTGGTGCCTTCTGGTTTTCCTTCTCTGCTCACCCAGAGCTCTGTCCCCCACACAGTGGGGCAGCAGCACTGGGACCAGCACATCATGGGTGCCCAAGGTGAGTGAGTCTGATATGGGGGAGGAAAAATAATGGGGAAGAAAGCAAAGGTTGAGGCCCCATAGGGCTGCAATGGATGACTGGGACCCGAAAGCAGGGCAACAAAACTGCAGGTAATGCCAGCCCGTAAGACCCTAGTCACCACAAAACTGGTGTTGCATGTCTTTAGGATCGCAGTTTTGGTGTATATTGCCTGCTCCTGTCACGCTTTCCAGTGCCCACGCAGTAAATCCAGTGCTTTCCCTCGGATTCTGTACTCAGATATGCTTTGGGGACGCCGTGAATTTGCCGTGTTTTCACCGAGCAACTGCATTGCGTAGAGTCAGAGCAGTGCTTCCTGGTCGAGTTTCCTGCGCACATGTTGGACAATAGGTCAGCACAGATCCTGGGGAGACGTCCAATTTTCCCAAATGCGTGGCCTTCCTATTCCAGCTACAGCACAGACAATCCTCAGAAATCTGTGCAGCATTTATTTTTTTTTTCTGGGCAGAAAAAGAACCCCCCTAGATATCTGTGCACGGAGAACCCTCAAACACAATGTGAAACACTCGACTGAGCTGCCAAGGAGAAATGCAAGGAATCTCCAGCGCTGGAGTTTTTAAGACCAGACAAAAATCTGCCAGGGTGAAGAGGGACAGCCTCCACTAGATCCTTCCCAGCCTGACATTCCTGTGATGCTCTGCGGGGAAGGACTGTGCTGACTCTCCCCTGGCATGAGGAACAGCAAGCACAGGCTGTTCTGGGCTCCGCAGCCTGCCCTCTTTCACCAGCCTCTTGCTGGGACCAGTACGAAACCCGGGACAGGCGCTGTGCTCAGACCAGTGGGGCTGGGCATGGAGAAAAGGGAGATTTCCATTTAATTTTCCCCAAAAGGGAGATTTCCCCTTTATTCATGCACGAGGGAAATTGCGGTGGCAATGGTGTTCACCCATGTAATGG